AACATGATACACTGCTTGTTGTTACTTCAACACGTGATTCACCATGGTACACTGCTTGTTGTTACTTCAACAAGTGATACACACCATGATACAGTGCTTGTTACTTCAACACGTGATACACAACATGATACAGTGCTTGTTGTTACTTCAACACGTGATACACAACATGATACAGTGCTTGTTGTTACTTCAACCGTGATACACAACATGATACAGTGTTTGTTGTTACTTAAACACGTGATACACAACATGATACAGTGCATGTTGTTACTTCAACACGTGATACACACCATGATTCAGTGCGTGTTGTTACTTGAACAAGTGATACACACCATGATACACTGCTTGTTGTTACTTCAACAAGTGATACCCACCATGATACACTGCTTGTTGTTTCTTCAACAAGTGATACACGCCATGATACTGTGATTGTTGTTACTTCAACACGTGATACACAACATAATACAGTGCTTGTTACTTCAACAAGTGATACACAACATGATACACTGCTTGTTGTTACTTCAACACGTGATACACAACATGATACACTGCTTGTTACTTCAACACGTGATACACAACATGATGCACTGCTTGTTGTTACTTCAACACGTGATACACAACATGATACAGTGCTTGTTACTTCAACACGTGATACACAACATGATACAGTGCTTGTTGTTACTTCAACACGTGATACACAACATGATACACTGGTTGTTGTTACTTCAACACGTGATACAAACCATGATACACTGCTTGTTACTTCAACACGTGATACACAACATGATGCACTGCTTGTTGTTACTTCAACACGTGATACACAACATGATACAGTGCTTGTTACTTCAACACGTGATACACAACATGATACAGTGCTTGTTGTTACTTCAACACGTGATACACAACATGATACACTGCTTGTTGTTACTTCAACACGTGATACACAACATGATACGCTGCTTGTTGTTACTTCAACACGTGATACACAACATGATACACTGCTTGTTGTTACTTCAACACGTGATACACACCATGATACAGTGCTTGTTACTTCAACACGTGATACACAACATGATACAGTGCTTGTTGTTACTTCAACACGTGATACACAACATGATACAGTGCTTGTCACTTCAACACGTGATACACAACATGATACACTGCTTGTTGTTACTTCAACACGTGATACACAACATGATACAGTGCTTGTTGTTACTTCAACACGTGATGCACAACATGGTACAGTGTTTGTTACTTCAACATGTTATACACAACATGGTACAGTGCTTGTTACTTCAACAAGTGATACACAACATGGTACAGTGCTTGTTACTTCAACACGTTATACACAACATGGTACAGTGCTTGTTACTTCAACACGTGATACACAACATGGTACAGTGCTTGCTACTTCAACACGTGATACACAACATGGTACAGTGCTTGTTACTTCAACACGTGATACACAACATGGTACAGTGCCTGTTTACTTCAACACGTTATACACAACATGGTACAGTGCTTGTTACTTCAACACGTAATATACAACATGGTACACTGCTTGTTACTTCAACACGTAATACACAGCATGGTACAGTGCTTGTTACTTCAACACGTAATACACAGCATGGTACAGTGCTTGTTACTTCAACACGTAATACACAACATGGTACAGTGTTGTTACTTCAACACGTGATACACAACATGGTACAGTGCTTGTTACTTCAACACGTAATACACCATAACAACAAATAATTAAATAGACAGAAAAGAATATAGGTAGATAAAGATAAAGGTAGATATCGACAAGGACTATATTGAAATACGTTTTCTTCCCTAAGAAATGATACGATATAACGCACCTGGCCGTCATAAGGCATCTAGTCCTCAGCACGTATGGAGTTTAAGAAATTATATCCAGAACGAAAAGGTCTAATTCTTTTATCAGAGCTAAGAAGAGAAAGGTAGAATTTTTTAGCCATATATTAAGTAGAATTCGATCAGTTCGTGGGGGGAGAGAAACTATTTACGTACATGTACCTTGTTAATACATTAACGGGCAAAAGAAAGAATACGCCAATGTTTGATGGTGGCTAAAATGAAACAAACAAGTTTGCAGTGTTTCGGCGACTGTTTGCAGTGTTTCAGCCTAGTACCGGTTTCATAATGTGTGTAATGTTTGTGTCAAAAACAGTTTTCAAGTTTGAAAACGCCTCGGTAAAGCTCTCAAAAGTTTTAAGATAGGCATGTGGAAGACATTTCCAAATTTGACGCATCAGTGACAAGAATGATAACTGATGCAATTCCCTATTTTGACTTGTACCACACGTTCCTGTGTTTTTCAGGTGAACAATTGACTTACCTTTGCATGTGTTTGTGACGGGTGCCACCGGTGGGGCAGGATACGCTCATCTTTCCGCGAACACCTGGTGTCTTCATTATTTGATAGTGATTCATAAACACATGCTCACCATATTGTCGGAATCGAACGATCGACTCGATTACTTATGAATATGGAAAGAGCTTTTGTTAACACTGATCAGTATTGATACAAACAAATCAATTCATACAATCATTTTTTTTAGTGAATAGTTTAAAGCGTCCCTCTCCAAGAGTCACAAATGACCAAAGGCCATGGTGCTTTACCACAGCTGGTCTGGGCCCGCGCATATTACAATGACCACTTGCTACGATGAGCTCTTCAATTGTGGACCGCCTCCGTGGTCTAGTGGTAGAGCGTCCGCCCGGAAGGCGGAAGGTCCGGGGTTCGATCCCCGGCCGCGTCATACCCAAGACATTAAAAGATGGTACTTGTTGTTACCCTGTCTGGCGCTCGGCATTAAAGGGCTTAAGCCGGCTCGGAGTCGGTAGACTGTGTCTGAGTGGGATATTCATGTTAAACTGCGGCATGGTATCTCAGTGTGCTAGCACTATAAATCGGCATCAGTCCGGACTAGTACAAGCAGCCACACACACACGTGCATGCACGTCGCTATATAAGTGCAACAATCTTGGACGCGACGTTTAACCCCATTTCACCTCACCTCTTCAATTATGCCTTTCAAAGGATTGCGTCGTTTTCGTGTCATGGGAATTCAGGCGCAGTTCGTGGTAGTTATAATATATCAGCCTTCAAAACATGTCTGGAACCTGAAGCTCAACTGGGATTATCATATGTTCAGCTCATATATCAATATCTGGCATAAATGAACCAGAATTGAGACATGTGAGAAGAATCAGTTTATATTATTATATCCTGTGGGTACTCGGTGCTGATCATTGTGTTCAGGTTGGCCCAGTCGTCTATGGTGCCGCATTTCGCTGTGCAGAGTTGCGTCCCTTGGACAAACCGGAAATCAATAATTTTGGGGGTTAAAATCCCGGTCCGGCCCTATTGGTTCTTGGTTTGTCAGCACCAAACCCGTGCCAAAGTGGTAACGGTCTAAGACCTGCATTCGCTACATGTCCCGTGCATGACGATACACATGAGCAGAAAGGGATTTCCCTCGACTGTAATACTGGGATTCCCCGACATTCAGTAGTAACAAAAGTAGTCCACTTCGGTGGGCGTGGCTTAATGTTAAACTTTCACTGGGAAATGAATGCAATAACACGTGACCAATTCAGCTTATAAGAATGAAGGAATTACAAGGAACACAACGCAAATTTAATCATATGTAAAATGAACACAAGACAGGCGGAATACGAAACAGTTTTAATGCTAAACTATTCTGTCATGAACGCGACACTTTGGCCTACCGCCATGCCTGTCGTTGCACTGATCGGATGATCCTTTGCACCAAACAACAAACACACAAACAAATATACAACAGTATTAGTTGCCAGTATCATGACGTCATGAACGATATAATGTGAGTATATGTTGCTCACATGGTTATATTCTTGCATTCGCTTCAAAGTTCCATGAAGATTTCAAGACAATTCATTTCACCAAAATGCTAATCAGTTTTCCTTTCGGACGTCGCTCCTTACTATGATGTCTTAGTAACGTGTATGGTAAAATTCTGCTGACGATTCAGTTCTTGGCCCACTTGCACAAAGCGATCTTAGCGCTAGGATGATCGTAACTCCTATACTTTAACATAAGCTTACGATAGTCTTAGCGCTAAGACCGCTTTGTACAAGTGGGCCCTGCCCTGGTCTCATTACTATGGGATAGTGATTCCTTAACAGATGCTTATGATGTTGTCGGAATCGTACATTCGACTCTGCTTTCTTATGAATATGAAAAAGTTTTTTTTGTTTTTTTTTTAGCATTTAATTACTTTAATAACACTACAGTGAATCACGGGCCCGTTCCACGGACCGATCACCGTAGAAGATGAACGTTACCCTCATACTTTAGCATAGACGTACGGCAATCGTAGCGATAAGATCACTTTGTGGAAGAGTGTCTGTACTGTAAAGGACTAAGGGAACGACCGTTTGATATTTATCGAAAACAGTGCCGTAGCCATCCGTGGGGGGGGGGGGGGGGGGGGGGGGATTTTTTATAGTAAAAAGTTTTATTTGAATCAAGTTGGGGACAAGTGATACTTGTACAAATATTTGCCTCAACCACCACCACCCCCCCCCCCCCCCCCCCCCCCCCCCCCCCACCCCCCACCCCGTCCTGAAAAGTTAACTACGGCCTTGGAAAACAAAAAATTATCTCCCAAAATTCTTGAAGATTTTTTCTTTTGCCTCATATTCTTGGAAATATATTTTGGCTTCCACTAAAATGACTTTTTTTGCTCTGTGTCTTTTTATAAAAACATTATTTTGACTCACACTTTCGATTAAATAAACATCTGGTTTTGCAGCAGTTAGCTGAGAAAAAAATTGGTCTGAATACCCCCCCCCCCCCCACACACACACACACTTTCCGCTTTAAGCGGATATGACGTCATATGACTGAATACTGTCAAAATAATATAAGAATATTTTACCAAACTGGAACCATTACACAGAATCAGCCACACCCACACGTCTTGTTACAGTGTTGAATCAGTGGAAAAAACAGGGAGGGGAACCATGGCAACTTATTGAACCTGTGGATGGTTTCCATGCCAACCAGGTAAGTACACCTTTGTTAGCTTAACGTTTAACGAAAAGGTTGAAAGAATACACCATTATGTTATTCCGAGTATTTGAATGTTGTTTTACGAAGCAGTAATATCACGTGGGCCTGAATATGTTTGTTTGTTTGTGGTTTAACGCCGCACTCGGCTATATTCCAGCTATTATGACGGCCGTCTGTAAAATAGTCGAGTCTGGACCAGACAATCCAGTGATTGACATAATGAGCATCGATAAAATGCATCAACCAAGTCAGCGAGCCTGACCGCCCGATCCCGTTAGTCGCCTTTTACGGCAAGCATGGGCTGCTGAAGACCTTTTCTACCCTGTATCTTCACGGGTCGGGCCTGAATATGATCGATCGTAGCCATCGTACCCTTGAGGTGAGAGGCGACAAAATATATGTTCGTGTGGTTACATTGTGTATCTTGTCTGATTGTATGTCACCGTACACTGACGACATGTATGGTTGTTCTTGCTATCAATCACTGGTTTGTCTGGCCCAGGATCGATTATTTATAGGTCGCCATGGTCGACTGCGACCTTAAACAACATTAATTCTCGGTCTAACCAAACAAAATAATTTTCATTGTCACACAATCAGTTGATTCAACCATGTGTGAGAATTGATTCAACCATGTGTGAGAGTTGATTCAACCATGTGTGAGAGTTGATTCAACCATGTGTGAGAGTTGATTCAACCATGTGTGAGAGTTGATTCAACCATGTGTGAGAGTTGATTCAACTATGTGTGAGATGCTGACGAGGACGGGTTGGTACCATGTTTCTGAAGAGTCTACAGCTTTGGTTTAAACGATTACCGTATTCGACGTAATAAGCGCCCCCTCTTATAAGCGCCCAAAGCGATATTTGCTAATATATTGGCTAGTGTACAATCCTAATTAGCACCCCTTCCGATTGATCACTGTACACAATACTTATTTATTCGTGTATAATACGCACTCGTGTGTTATATGCACCCTTAATTATGCTAATCTCATTAAAATCAGATCTAGTTCACGCTATCGCTAAACAAAGATCTGAGGACATCCCGTTACGGGTCACGTCAGAACGACCTTTCATCCGACCAATCAAAGCGTCGCTTACCAGATCATGAAAGTGTAAGTCGGAATGTGTTTTGTAATCATGCAACCTCGAAAATGTTAACACGGGGTATTCCGAACGACAGTTTCGGCCTGTGCGACTGATTCCGTCAAAATTATCGTCTATCTCTCGCTTCCGTGGGATAAACATTTGAACGGAGGAGGCGTTGCACAGTACGTGGGAAACACTGCCATGCAATCTCAACCTTCCATTAGACATTCCGGAATGTTCGTTTGTTCAGTTTTCAAAATTTTAATCGACAACTGTGGAAACATATTTTTCAAGCATAGTCTGAAATGGAAGTCGCCAGGTTGAAACGAGTGCCGAAAAGCTCGGGAAAGCTGCTTTCTAATTGGCTCATGTCGACTTCTTGTTAGTCATTTCAGTGGTCAGTCAAAGTTCGCGAAAGGTCGTTCTGACGTGACCCGTAATAGGATGTTATCAGATTTTTGTTTAGCGGTAGCGAGAACTTAGATCGGATTTTAATGAGATTGTAATTATGGGCAATTAAATATAAACATTTCAGGCTGTCAGCATAAACCTCGAAATTTACGATCTTTCAACTTTCAACTGTTTTTTTTCGCCAAAATAATATTGTAATATGAGCCCCCTGTTTCTAATTTTGAGAGCGCCCAGGGTGCTTATTACGTCGAATACGGTATATAAATAACTCATCGCTGCCCTTTTAATAACAGGGGCCCTGTCGTCTAAGGCCTTGGAATTCGTTGTGCGGAGTAGCATCCCTTTGGCTCGATGTGGGGCTCGAATCTCGTGTCCTTTAAGTTTTCAGTTTTGTCAGGACCATATCCATGCTCGTTTTGAAGAGTGGCTTGATTATTGCTGAAAATTCACTCACTCACCATAACCAACTATTTTGTCTCACTTGACAGCAAGGCCAGGCCCTGATAGCCGCCGCGGTTTGGGAGGCCATTGAACAGACGAGTCCTGCAGCGCTGGGCCAGCTCAACCCCAACAACGCCAATATACAGAGGATATTCGGCAACCAGGGCGGATATTGAGGGTTAAGATGGCGTCACTTCCGGTTGCATTAACCCGCCATCTTTAAATGGTATATTTAAGATAAAGGGGTACGGGTTGATGGTGTGTGTATGCATTAAGACCATCATTACTGACAGTTTGGGGCATTATTAAGTGAACGACTATTTATTTTCAAGACAAGCCTGAGATTTTTGTTCAAGACAGCAAAATATAATCGGCCCTTTTGAGAAACGATTATGTGTTTTATAAAGGGGCATAGGCAGCTCCTTGAGCTGACGCCGGTACTCGTTGAGCAGATTTATGTCCCTTTATGTAGCTCCGTGGATCTGCTACTCGTATGTTCGAATCCAGTTTATGATCATTGGTCTGTCAGTACCATACCCGTGATTGTGAAAGACGTTAATTTCGTTTGCCCTGATAATAAAAACGAATTGTGATTTCTATTGCAATACTGTTATGTCATAACGTTTCATATGCAACATGTGTGATAGACCATTTGACCGGTGCACACGTGACTTCACGGAATATTCTATTTAAAATATTTCCTTATAACATGATTGTGTTTTGTTGTTAATTGTTAGGACTTCTTGTCATTAGACAATCATTATTTCTTTATCCCACTGCTCCCACTGAGTATTGATAAAAGCGGCGTAAAACAATACTCAGTCATTCTTTCTTTCTTGTGTAATACTACATTGGCGTGACGGTACATGTGCAACACGTATATAGTAACACACGCTTGACTAGTTTACAAATGTCATCCCACATTTATTAAAACATTTGTTTCTCTCATTTATCCATTTGGAAACATGGCGGTCCAGTAAACGCTGTGCAGAATTACGTCCCTTACCCGTGAAGGGATATGCGCTACTCATGGGTTTTAATACCAGATTCACCTCGATTATGATCCTTGGTTTGTCAACACCAAAACCATGTTCATGGGTTTCATTAAGAAGGGCACGGGCGGCCCAGTCGTATAAGCCACCGGAATTCGCTGTGCAGAGTTGCGTCCCTTGGGCACGCCAGCAACTTAGGTCCGCCCCGATTATGTTTCTATCATTGCTCGTGAGTTTCACAAGCCCAACTCACTCACTAAAGCGGCAAGCGTCAACGACTGTCATGGAGGATGATTTTCCTTCCACCTTACACAACACACACACACACACACACACACACACACACACACACACACAGAGACGTAAATGTATAATACAATCATTTATTTACAAAACAGTGTACGCACGCTATACAAGTTGAATTACAGTCAGTTACAATTTCATCAACTACACTGTACAGTCCATGCTGAAAGATCATAAGGAAACAATTCTACACTTTACAAATTTACATCTTTTACTACTTCAGGATATAAAATCATGCCGTGACTTTTCGTTTCTTGGTAATGTTTTTCAAAAGCCTTTTAATCAAAGAAGTATCGGTATTTCTTCTGCGAGAGATGGGAGAAATGGCCATTTGTCGCACTGTTTGACAGAGATTCTCAAAGATATCCACAAACTCAACACTGTTCAGAGAAACGCCCACACCAGGCAAAGAGGCATTTGATCGAGGGTTTGCACACTCGATACTTGGTTGCTTATTTTGCGATTCTTCTTGCCGCATTTTCATTAATATCTTTGGAAAATTGTATTTTTCAGACACATCACTCTTTCGTTCATTGCTAAGACAAATCTCTTTCTTATCGTTGAGTTGGTCCTTGGTCAGCTGTTCGCAAACTTCAGTCTTGCTATTCTCGGACGCTGAAGCCCCATGAAATACCTGCGCACAAGCGATGAATGGTGCTTTCCACACTTTCAGTGTAGAAAGCGTGCTTTCAGGTTCCTTCATATTTCGCTTTGTTGGCATCACTGGGAAAAGACGAGATGTCTCATCGCTAAGTTTCGCCAATCTCCCATCCATGTCCGTTGTCTTTTGGACCAATTGACAGTGTAGGTTCATCATCATGTCCACATAGCTCGATTCATCAAAGGATTGTCTGCAAGGGTGATCTGACTTTCTTTCCAGCTGTGACTTAATTAAAAGCCCAGAATTAACTGTACCATATACCTTCTTCTGTATTTCAGGGATGTTACCAGGAATAAGTTCGCATTGCTCATGTGACTTGGACGTACTCGAATCAGGAGTCCTACCTTTCTTCTTTTGCTTGACCGCACTACGAGTAGAGAATGTGTTTCGTCGCCGGAAACAGCCATCGGAGATATCATCAAGACTCTGCTCACTTGACTTGGACGTACCCGAATCAGTAGTTCTACCATTCGTCTTTTGCTTGACCGCACTACGAGGAGAGAACATGTTTGGTCGCCTGAAGCAGACATCGGAGATATCATCAAGACTCTTCTCACATGACTTGGACCTACTCGAATCAGTAGTTCTACCATTCTTCTTTTGCTTGACCGCACTACGTGTCGAGAATGTGTTTCGTCGGCGGAAGCACCTGTCGGCGACAACATCTAGCTCACTTCCGGAACTTCTGACTGAAGGTGACGGAACACCTGCAGCTAAAGTTCTGTCATTTCCTGTTTCAAACTTATCTGTATTTCTGTTATTGGTTGTCTGCTGGGGCTGATCGTCCGTTGTCATAGTATTTATGAAGAGAGGCGATAGATTTGCCGTATCTCTATTTGTAATTTCCCAAGGATATGGGACTGAGGCCGATCCATGTCCACCATCTATTATCTTCATCTGTGTAGACAAGATTCCAACCTTATTTGTTTTCGCTATCTTGTTCATAATGTCCCTCCCTACTTGCACATTAGAGCTGTCTGTTAAAATGACAATGGCATCATCATCTTCTGACGTCAGGCCACTGATGGATATCTCCCCAGGACTGGCAGTTAAGTATCTGTTGGCCTGGAATTTGATTTTCACCTCCATTTTGGAGCCAGAAGCCATCAGGATGTTCTCCAATTTCTGACTGTATATATCTCTGTGGGTAAGAAACACAGTATGCACATGACCATAACACATTGAAGATACATGTATATATATATATCTGATGATGTTGATGTTTGTTGTTTAACGCCTCGCTCAGCAATATTCCAGCTATATAACGGCAGTCAAATAATTGAGTCTGACAACCAATGAGCATCGAGCCACGCTCGAAATTGGGATACGATGACATGCATCAACCAAGTTAGCCAGCCTGACCACCCGATCCCCTTAGTCTCCTCTTACAACAAGTATAGTCGCCTTTTACGACAAGCATGGGTTGCCGAAGACCTATTCTAGCCCAATATATATATATATGAAACGGTCGTTGTAGATTTACGGTCATGCAATGAGGGGCATGGGTGACCCAGTCTTCTAAGGCGCCGCGATTCGCTGTGCAGAGTTGCGTCCCTACTCTTTGATTGTGGGTTCGAATCCCGGTTCGCCCCGATTATGTTTCTAGGTTTGTCAGCACCATACCCGTGCTTGTGGGTTTACGGGTCAGACTTGACTTCAGTACCTAATGCTTATAGTTCAGATATTAGTCACTGATACGATTACAAAATGGGGGCCCCGTGAAGATTCGGGGTAGAATAGGTCTTCAGCAACCCATGCTTGCCGTAAAAGGCTACTACGCTTGTCGTAAGAGGCGACTAACGGGTGGTCAGGCTCCTACCTGTATGTCATTGTATCCCATTTGCGTAGATCGATGCTCATGATGTCAATCACTGGATTATGTGGTCCAGACTCGATTATTTACAGACCGCCGTCCTACAGATTGAATATTGCTGTGTGTGGCGTTTAACAACAAACAGACAACATGGGGATCAGTTGGTGAGGTTCTGTGAGTTGGGTGACTGTTTGAGGCTAAGATTCGCTTTTTAAACGAGAACATTTTATATTATCATATGCAGGAGGTGTTCTCCTTCAAAAGTTATAAGTTTCAATTCAGTCTTATGTTTGAGGAAGCCTTTTAGGGCCATTTGTTTTTAAAAAACCCAAATGGCCCTAAAAGGCTTCCGTACATGTTAGCACGTACCTGAATATATTTCTGATGTTGGAGAATACGGCAGAGTTGAATTCTTCTTCCAGCAAACTGATGACAGCAACTGTGAAGACATCATGAAGACCGTTCTTGCTCCCCGTCTTTCGGAATGGCATCTTACTTGTCAGAAAATGTCAAATGCTCAAAGGTGCATGGCCCTTCAGCATTCACGGTGGCAAGTGCATCCACCCTCTTTTATATGCTACCTGGCTCGGCTTAAGCCTATGAATATAACCTGTGAATGACAAACACCTTTTGCCTGTCACGATTGTTATTTTTACATATGCTTCCCTCACCTGCTGGGCAAGTATTCTAATAATAATCATTTGTATATATAAACTATGAATTTATTAATTGGTAGACGCTAAAATAAAAAAAAGGGCCCTTTGTTTTTTTCTCTTAAATTTTAAGATACGATCTTGAAATTTCAAGATACATACTAAGCGAAATTTCAAGATAATCATCATGAGGTTTCAAGATAATCATCTTGAATTTTCAAGATAATCACTTGAAATTTCAACTTAGTATCCTGAAATGCTGAGATGCTAAGTTGAAATTTCAAGTTATAATCTTGAAATTGGATTCAACTTAGTATGTATCTTGAAATTTCAACTTAGTATCTTGAAATTCCAAGTTATTACGTGACCATCCGATCCCGTTTGTCGATTCTTACGACTAACATAGTCGCCTCTTTCGGCAAACATCGGTTATTGAAAATCTATTCTCCTCCCGGATCTTCGCTAAGCTAAGAACGACAGGTCAGTAGGTAGATGATTTGCCTGTAAACGTATAGGTTACACACATTTTTTGCGAATACATCTGCAAGTATTTTCTTGGATTTTTACTTATCCTGCAGTAAACGCTGTGTGAAGGTCTTTGCTTGAAGAAGTTGCTCCGACTAGCTGAGAGGCCAACCAATCACTTCTTTGGTTCTTCGTGACCAAAGAAGTGACGTCACGAATCCTCACATTACTCTTGTCACTTGATGAGTGAAGACCTGTTTTTCACTGTAGCATAAACTGATTCAAATCCTCACGTGTTTGCTATTTGAGTTAATGTTTTCTTGTCTTTGTGTTGTACCTACGGTTTGTTTTTTGTACATTCTATGTTTGATAAACATGTGCATAACGTTATTAGACACTTACGGGCGTTTTCTCAAAAGAAAACATAATGCCAGGTGTCTTGTTGTTCCAAGTAGCCATCTTGAATATTTTACGTGGCCAGTAGTTAATGAACTGGTTTGCGTTCTATATTCTTTTTGCTTGGTACCCCACGATTGGCGTATGCTCGCAAGTATTGTTTGTTTTGTTGTATGTTTTCTTACGTTTGTCGAAATATTTGTTTCATAAACCCACATAGTGGGATAAACAAATTATAGCATGCATAATCGGGCAGGGACGCATTGTGATTTGACACTGCTTCATTGCAGATATCATGTCCTCCTTCTCAAAGTGCCGGCGTAATATGTCGGCGTGGGATCCCCACTCCCTGTGCCTTAATCGTACATCTCAATACCTCCAGGGTCGTGGATGTAAAGACTGTCTACAGCTTTCACCACAGCCTTCA